TCTGAGCAACAGATCGCTCTTGCTTTGCTGCTCTGTGTTTAACGACTTTCATTAATGAGATCCTCTAACAACACTAGGATCAGCCTGTTAACCCTGTCTTAGGCATTGCCTCTGAAATCCCAAAGAATTGATTCGTTCTCCTGCTCCACCATTTGAAATCTGTGTTTGCAATTGGCCATTGCTCCTTTTCCCAAGCAGTATTTTCCCAATAAATACTTCTGTTTGGCTTTACTTGTCAGGAAAATCAAGGCATTGCTACACATTTTCCCAAATAAAAACTTCTTGGTTTGTTTTCTGATCTGTTTAGCATCTTTTCTCTGCCCCGCTGGTATTTATAGCTTCGGCTAAACTAGTATTAGCTTTATTTTGTTAACGAAGAGAGAGATTTCCTTCAGATCTTCCATGAGACCGTTAAAGAGAACCAGGCGTACCATATCTCTTTGGTGTTTCATAAACTTGCCGTTTCAGGGTAGATTACTTTTAACTGGAATGATCCAAGTTATCATTTTTCTATCTGAATAAATCAGCAGAAAAATCCTGTTAAAAATTGTCTCGATATAGATATATGCCTTAAGGAAAGATCCATGTCTCCTTGAAAACCGTATAAACATATTTATAACTTTAGACTTTCCATCAGACTGCATTTTTTGACTCAAAAGGATAGGCTACAGCTGTTCCCATTTTTCAGAGTGGTTAAATAAATGGTAATATTTGTGCCATTTCTTTACATTTTACTTATGTTGGCAAATCATAACTGATGCTTTTTTTTTTTTGGATGATTACTTGTACACTTGGGGTTTTTTGCCAAGTTGGGCAAAACAGGCACTCAGTTAAATTATGTATGCAGAATTTTATTTATTAGCAAATTAAACACTCTTAAATGTGATAAATACATAAGAGGGGAAATAACCTTATCCAAAGCTATTCAACATTTAAAACGATGAAACAAAGGAAGTGTTACGGATAATGAAGGAACAGAGCGGATGGTTCTGAATACGTGAAGGCATCGATAAGTGACAACGGGTAGGGTTCGTCGTTTCACATGCTCTTTCACGCCTTCCTGCTGCGTCAGCCCTCGCCACTCTCCCAGGTTCGAACCAGTTATTTGCTGAGCTAAACTCCTGGGGTAGAAGGTCGCTACAGATATGCTCTCTTTGCATCTGCCAAGGCTGCTCCTGCGAGTAAAACCCAAGTTAAAATTTACAAACCCTGGGCTGTAGAAATGCTCAGATGCTCAGACAGCAGCTTCTGTTCAGTAGTTTGACTTTTCCAAGAAGTTCACCACTGCTTGTTTCTCTCAATTTACACCACCTGAAAAGACTATGACTTTAAATCAAACGTAGATTTTTTTCCCCAATGATACTAAATACATCTGTTTTTAAAAGAAAGATGTATTTAAGTACAAGACAACCTAAAGGCACAAAATAAATCCTGTGCTCTTCAGCCAAATTTGCATCTTCAACTCTCAAATTAGATCTATAGCTGATCTAATCTGAATGAATTTTAAGTGCCACTTGGGGAGCACTAAAGGCTTCACACTAATTCTCTGCTTCCATGAACCATAACCCAATTTGTACTTGTCCTTGGTGACTGTTGGTTATAGCCACCCCTGTCCAAGATCAGATGCTCTCTTGGTACCTCCTCTTTGTGGAAATGCCACCAAGCAGAAGTGACTTCCGTGCTGTATTCTTGGAGAACCTTTATATTGCATTAGAAAAGTACCCAGGCATGATAAACGGGCGTAGGGATTGCAGATGCTGGGTGGATGAGCAAAGAGAGAAAACTGATAACCCGTTTAATTTTCATTTTTACAAGTTTGTGAAAAACTTTTTCATAAATAACTTTCTAAGAAAAAAGCAGCAAAGATTGACTTTCTTTGCCCAGCCACTGTGAAATAATGTTGGTCAATGCATTAAGTCCAGGTTGATGATGAGTCCAGCAGATGTACGCGCGCTCATTTGTGCTGTGGTTTTGGGTCTTCTGAGGTTGCCAGCCTATCAGATTCATCTTCAAGATATAAACCTGCAAGTAATAGGCTGAATTAAGCAAAAGCAGATGATTAACTTGTCATATGTTGATTCCACTTTATGTCCGACAGCTCTGGAATAGTAATCCTGCAGCCTTATCCATGAGCCAGATGTTTGCATCATTATATGTTTGAAATTTAATCCAGTGTGGGGGCAGTGGGGAGGTCCAAAATAAAAGCGAGCTGGTGTCCTGGGAGACTGAAGTCCAGCCAGTACAGGTCAGTAGACTGCAGAACACCCATAAGCTCAGTTAAATGGTCAGGGCATGTGTCTGAGCTGCATCCAGAGGTAGGAGAGGAGCAGAGTCCACATGGGGAGTGGGTAACGCCTTGTCTGCCAAGCCCTGTGCTACTACACCCACAACTTTTCCAATGCCGGAGCTAAAGCTTGGTCAAATTTCTGGTGCTGTTGCCGGCAACATAGACGTGGTCTTCATCTTCGAAGAGCTCATGCTACTGCTGTATTTTGTTGGCAGCCTCCCCTTAGAGACTGCTGGTAAAGAAATCAGTTACGAGACATTTTAACATTATCTGATCAAATTGGGCTGAGATGTCTGCCTATCATTCAACTTACATAGCCAGTGAGTCTTTGGATCAGAATAAACCTAGGGTCGATGTTGAGTTTGAAATTAAAATCTGTATCTTTGGACCATCCAGTGGTCTTTAGGTCGTGACTGTTGACAACGGGCTCTGCCAAGTGAAGCCTGTCACATACACATCAAGGGAAACATCTCACTCTGCAGCTGGCTAAGACCGGCAGAGAGCATGAGGAAACTAACCCTGGGGTGTAGATAAGCAGGCTTGGCCTCAAAAATCTGAAACCGTGACCTATGAAGAAAGAACAGAAAAATGTGGGTTGTTTAGTCTAAAGCAGCCTGAGGGGTAGCAGAGATGGGAAGCAACGAACGTGGCTTTTGGGGTCACTGTCAGCTCTGCTTCTACAGGCTGTGTGTTATTTGCAGGGAGATGTAGGGAACATGTCTGTTTGATGAAACTTGAAAAAAAAGTAAAAACCATTTTAGGCTGGTTTTGTGAATATCAGATTGTGGTTGTAGCAACACTTTTACAGACATACTGCAAGCCCTTAGGGAAAAAAATACATGGCAGCCACTCGTACTGCAGAATTAGACCAGTTGAAACCTCTATATGATCTGTTTTAAATAGCTCTTGACTCCAAATCGGGTAGAATTCTTCAAGACTGGGAAGTACACTGAGACTCCAGTGCTAAGAGGTGTTTCACAGAGAAAGAAGTATTTTTTTCCAGAGTATATTTGGCTGAAGTTAGTAACAAGGTGTTTGCTCATCGGCGTAGCTGGGGTGTTGTGCTGGTCTACGCGTGCGTCTTTATTTGCCAGTTTTGTTAGATATATGGGACTAAGGGGTACACAGGCAAAGCACTCAGTGGATTTACAGATCTGCTTCTTCCCATTATTTATTGAGCAGTAAGATATACACTGTGTGCTAAGGACTAACGCAGGCTAAAGAACAGAGGGGAATGTTGGTCAAACTACAAGTGAAATACAGATTCTCCTTTGACCTGTTCATTAGCTGCCCTAGGTTGGGCAAGTTTTTCACAGCAAAATGTACTTTCTCTCTAGAAACGTATTTGTTTTAGGATGCCATTACCACTATTATTTGGGGTTTAGCACCCATAAAAGAATTGATATTCCAGCACAAGATTACATTCTTCCTATCTGTATTTTGCTGTGACTCCAACTGATAATAGTGTCGTAATGTCTATGATTATTCCCTGACTAGTTAGGAAAATGCCTGCACTTAAGTTTAATTTTAAGGGAGCTGTTTGGCGGCTTTCTGTTGGATGACCGTAGATACCACAGCAAGAGCTACCTCCAACCTCTGGAAGAAAACACTGATGGGTTTCCTG